TGTATATTTTTATTAATCCATATATATTACTGATGTATGATACACATTCACAGTAAACTATGTTATATAGGTAATCATGAATCTATCACAATGAATCAGATGTATGGATTTGATGGTGAAGTCAAAGTAAAATATTCTGCTCAAATGGCAGAATTATTTACAGAGGTTTATAATTGGCTTCCTCTTGCCCACTCTCTTAACAACAGAGTACTTGTAAGTTTACCTTACTATTTACACAAGTGTTGTTAAATAATTTACATAATTGTATAATGTTTTATATATAAATCATATATATTTTTATGAATTTCTTAGGTAATGCATGGCGGTTTATTTTCAAGAGATGACGTTACGTTAAAAGAAATCCGAGAAATTGACAGAAATAGACAACCACCAGAAGAAGGATTAATGTGTGAATTATTATGGTCAGACCCACAACCTCAACCAGGAAGAGCACCTAGTAAAAGAGGTGTTGGTGTTCAATTTGGACCTGATGTTACACAAAATTTCCTTGCTATGAACAATCTTGATTATATTATAAGGAGTCATGAAGTGAAAAATGAAGGATATGAAGTTGGTCATGATGGAAAATGTATCACTGTATTCTCTGCTCCAAATTATTGGTATATAAACATATATGAACCACTTAAATTTCATAAAATCAATAAATCTTAAAACAGTCACATTACATATTAATTTTATTTTCTATTTTTAGTGATACTGTGGGTAACCAAGGTGCTTTTATCACACTTAATGGTAAAGATATGGAGCCCCATTTCACATCATATGAAGGAGCGGTATGTTAAAATTAACTTATAACATTTGTAAGTTTTAATTACATTACATGAGTGTATTTCTTCTTCAGCCTCATCCAAATGTAAGGCCAATGGTATATGCTAATTCTCTACTAAAATACATGTGCTAGTGGAACACCCTAGGTACTGTTGATAAATAAATGAATAACAATAACTGAATACGAGTAGCCCAATCAAAGTGTGCGTAATATATTTGATACTGAAATGGAGAAGGTGAGAAACGCTTAGGCTTCTCCAAAACAATAAAATACTGTATTCTTTCTAGGAACAAGAAAATCTTCTGTATTATAATAAGTGCAATGAAGGTATAATATTGATGGGTACAAAAATGAAAGGGTTTGCTTGTTTTGAAAACTGGCAAACAACTGTATCAAATTTTCTTATCTATGATAAGAATAATGCCTCATTAGTAATTTGTTTCATTGTAATGAAATAACGTAAAAAGAACATTTCTATTTTGTACCCTCAATTAAACCACCTTATTCATTAAAGATGTTAGTGTTCACGCACAAGCTGAATAAATGATCTCAAAGATCTCAACAGATTAACTTATATTCTAATACTTGCGTAAGGTGCTGAACATATAATGAACACACCTATTATTCTTTTAATTTATTCTTTAATGAATAATGGTGGTTTCGACGGAACAATGATTATTATGAAAATATCTAATACATATGCGATCTAGCATGACTATGTAGTACAATTTTCCAGCCAGTCACTATTTATCACGTTATTTGTGATGACTACTTTTTTACAAACCTAACGTGATTGGAAGGATTTCTTTGATCTAACATTTTGTTTTTTTGTTAATAATAAACGATGTTTATAATGTATTTAAAATTTATATTGTTTTTCTTAAAACAGTGAAGTTATACCTTATGAAATGATTTGAAAAATTTCTTCTGACAGAGTGTCTCGGTTTTGACGATTCACGGTTATAACTTTACACCTTTTATCTGCCTGAAGTTTTTGAAATAATGATAAATATCGTTGCGGTATTTTATGCATTTGTGGTATTGTTGCAATTATAAAAGGTTTGCTTGAACTTTTAAAAAATAATTTCTCTATTTCATTGTGAAATTTTTGGCTAAACAGCTCCATTTTACCGATTTCATCTATAATTAATACATCCTATAAACAATACAAAATTAGTGGCTTATTTACAACGATAAATATGTATGTAACACAAAAATAACATGCTTACTGTATTTGAGCCAAAAACAGGTAATGCTGCTGCTTCAAAATCACTAAGAAACACATGATAGCTTCCAACTTTATACTTAGAGCACTGTGACTGGTTTATTACATTTCTGTTTGCAAGTAGTATTGTCTCAGACATAAAAAAAATTAAATTTTATATAATTATGTATTGATACTAACTCAGTTCGTGCCAATATAGATTTTTCCTCAGGATTTTTTGCAAGCACAACATCAAACCCAATCCTACTACCACTTTGATCTCGTACTTCCTCAGTATAAAACCCATCAAATTTATAATTTTGTTCCTTCATCATTGAAGCTAACTTTTTGCATAATGTAGTTTTTCCTATACCTATGACAATTTCAATTTGAATGAATTTATAAATCTTCGTTTGCAATAAACAATTTAAAAATTAACTAAGAACATAGGGATATTAAATTACATATATTCTTTATCTTCCATGTTAATTATATACTGCTGTTGAAATTGCACAATTTCATATGTTAGCGATTTAAATTATTAATAAATTGTAACAAAACAAAAATGTAAAGTATTTTCTGATGGAGGGTATATAGAAGCTAGTAATGGGTGATTTTTGGAACACTTTGTAATTTTTAAAAGTCGCGGACTTACCAGGGGGTCCAGTGAGAAGTACACGTGAGATACGCAACGTGGCGCCGGTATCCATATTTCTTGTTTTTCTAAGTTTAAGCAGTGATTACGGGTGACACTTGCACGTAGGGATAAAAAATAATAGGTGGTCGGAATACACAAAGGGATTATTTTAATTTGATGCAATTAAATGTAGTTAAAGATATATGTATTAAAGATACCAATGAGATATCAAAAGAAAAAGATTAGTAAAGTTACCGCAACGTGAGGCCGCTGAATAGCGATCAGCTGATCGTGCTCGAGTAAGACAATCTACTCTGGTGGGCTGAAACGCCTGTGTGTATGTAGATACCTACGTACATTGACTGCGTTCAGCAGTGCGTTGGTGCGTGATACGCGCCTCGTGTAGCCTATGTTTGTGTGAGTCTGTGAGGCGTACACTCGCGACACGTCTGTCACAGAATAAATATAAGATCGTCCACGGCAAAACTTATAATAGTTGCAACCTATAACAATCCCGTGAATTTGATTGCGCCACAAATTTCTCTATTCCGTAGGTTTCCCTGCTTTTATAATTACGCGAGATAATCTTAGAATCTCGAGGTGCGTAAAGGATCTTAACCAAAGAAGAGAATACGGGCGTTAGTTACAGGATACATGGAAGAAAGGGACGAAGGTTGAAGACGACGGTTCTATCCGTTTTCGTATACATATCAGTATCTATAAAGAAGAAATGGCTCGTCCTTCCAATTGTAGTCCGCTTTCGTATCTCTTCGCGAGACAAATCGACGACAAAGTCGATCACTGCAAACGTCTCGTTAATACTAGATTCGAAACCTCCAAAAATTTGTTCAGGAAGGATCTACTATCACATTATGGATGCGTTAATGCGATTGAATTTTCGAATCAAGGGGATCTTCTTGTTTCCGGTAAGAAGCTAATAATGTACTTAATTTGTTTCGTCTTATACGGTACTATGCCCGTCGACTTAGACAATTAAAAATCGACGGAAAATTGAAGCCGTTTAGGTTTTTCAATTAAGTTTAGTATAAGTTTAGTATTAGCCGTTTGGTATTTCAATTAATTGCATAATTGATAAAATACATATTTTTTTATGTATCATTTCCTAAATGCGTATTTTTTTCATGTATTAAATTAATTATTGATATAAAGGTGTAACATAATATAAAGTTATTTTATTATTAATTTGATAGGTGGCGATGATAGAAGAGTTTTATTATGGAAAGTGGAACAGGCAATACAAGGTGTGGGTAAACCTGCAGTAATGAAAGCTCAACACATCAGCAACATCTTTTCCCTTGGTTATGACAGTAGTAAAACAAAAATATTTTCTGCTGGAAATGATGATCAAGTTATTGTTCATGATTTGCGAACGTATGAATACCTTTATATCATGCTACCTCAGATGTAATCATATATGATTAAACAATTACTTCTATTTTAATACAGGGGAGATGTTGTGAATTTCTTTTTGCATGACAAACCTGTTTACGGATTGTCAGTACATCCACATAATGACAATGTATTTGCAAGTGCTTGTGATGATGGAAGAGTTTTAATTTATGACATCCGTGGGTCCAGTGCTATGGAAACTTTTTGTTTGGCACAGTATTCAACTGCTTTTCACTGTGTAATGTTTAATCCAACAGAACCTAGGATGCTTGCTACTGCCAATGCCAAAGAGGGTATTAGCATGTGGGATGTGAGAAAACCTTTGGAGTAAGTAATTTCAGTAATGATATAAGAAATTTTCATTCAAATAACAATGTTTCTGTTGTATTTGTAGGCCTGTATTACGTTATGGAAATGAAAATTCAGTCCAGAGTTGTATGAATGTTAGATTCAATGCAGCAGGTAACAGATTGTTAGCTTTGAGAAGAAGATTGCCCCCTGTACTTTATGCTGTAGGTTCTTCTACTCACTTATGTCAATTTGACCATCCGGGATATTATAATAGTTGCACAATGAAGTCATGCTGTTTTGCTGGAGATAATGATGAATATGTCCTTTCTGGTGAGTAATATTATAATTAGTATGAATTTCACTATATGCTACTAATATATATTTCTTTTATTTATTTATTCCATTTATTTAACACCTTCATTACATGTACAGAGTAAAATGATACATATTATTCATGCAATACCTCATATATTTTAATGTCTGATTTTAAGGTTCTGACGATTTTAATTTATATATGTGGAAAATTCCTCCTGATGATGTGAAGTGGGTAAATTCTGCACACATGATATTACGTGGCCATAGATCTATTGTTAATCAAGTACGATACAATCAAGCTAGTTGTATTTTTGCTTCATCTGGAGTGGAAAAACTTATTAAGATTTGGAGTCCATTTCCTGTAGGAAGTAACTGCTTCGGTGGATTAACGGTAATACATATATTATATTGATTTAAGTATTTATTTTAATAATTGATGTTATCACTTTTATATCTGTACTTCAGAGAAATGAAGGAAGACAAGAGATACGACGTAAAGTATATACACATGATGAATATATTGGATTAGTATTACGTACTGGTCAATTCATGACACATGATTATAGTCATCAATCAACAAGAGAAGATTCAAGGATGATGGCGTTTTTTGATTCATTGGTACAACGTGAAGTTGAAGGCTGGAGCTCTGAAGATATGTCACCACTACCAAGTGATCATGAAAGCAGTCCTCTACCTAGAATTATTTGTAGTACAACAGATTCAGACGGTATGTTTTATAAGTCAAGATTTTATATTGCAATAATAACAAAAATTATCACACATTTAAATGAAACATTTTATAGATACTACATCATCTGGTCAACAATTGATGTTAAATATTTTAGAATCTGCAGTAATATTGGCGTCTGATGAATCCCCTGGAAATGAAATACCTACTGAAAGACCTTCGAATCGCATAACACGACTTATAGCATGTCGGAGAGAAAAATTGAAGAGACTCGCAGCTGTAGATTGTGGTGCACCGGCAAATAATGCTTCTGCTGCAGTATTAGAACCATCTGCATCTGGTTCTGCTAGTGATGGGGACAATGCACAAGTTAAGTGTAGGTCTGAACCAAAATCAAAATTAGAAGGTGTAAAGAGAAAACATGACAAAATTTCTGAAAGAAGAAATCGGGCTAGAAGAAAATGTGCGGTGTTACATATTAATAGTGACTCTGATAGTGATGAACAACCTGTTGACACAACTCAGCCTAGTACCAGTTCTGGTGTAGTTTCTAGAAGATCACGATATGATCTTTGTAAAGTTGTAAATGCTATTGAGAGTGATGCAAAACATTCAAATTATAGTAGTAGCAGTTCAGAGGATAATGATGTTTCTAGTAAACGAAAACATTCAAAAACTGATTCTGATACTTCAACAAAAGTTCACAGAAGAAAACATAAGAAATATAAAAGTAGCTTAAAAAATGATACTGCTAAAAATAAAAGTAAACGGCAAAAAATTGATTATGATACGAAGAAGAAAACACCGAACTGGAAGATTTATTTTAGTGGTGTTAATGACACAATAACAGTTAAAGAAGATGGTCCATCAACTCCAGTGAACAAATCAAGCAAAGTTCCTTCCACTCCTGATAGTGGTATTACATCAGGGGTATCTACATCTGAGAAGAATAGTGAACCAGCACAGAAAGATCAAAATGATGTAGAAAGTTCAGATCATGAGCAAAAACTAAAAAATCTAGAGTACTTTAGAAAAAAAGTGGATGTAGCAAGAAGGAGCTATCGTAATCGATCTAACTACAATTCAACTACAACTGATTCTTCCGATTAAGCTCCTGTTACCTTCAACCTTTTAATCCCTTTCCTTTTGTACATAATGAATCTGTGATTCCTTGAAGTATATTTTTATAATACTAAGTTTGTTCACACGTGAATATGGTCGGTTTTTTCTATCTTCTTTTAGACTTTATTATTTTTCTGTTATCTTCATATGTATCCTACATTTTATTGGAATCTCTTACGATGCAAGACTGTTCCAGCGAAATAAATCTTTTTTCACTATATTTAAAAATGATTTTGATCGTGATCTAATCACAAAATATTTTATAATTGGTACAAAGGGTTACGAATTTAGTAATCTCAAGTGTTTAAAATTATTACTGACTGACATTTCAATTGTTTAGAAATCGATTTATTATTACAAGATAAACATGTTTGGATATGACCATTAAATCGTATGTAATCGAAACTACAGCAGAACACCGCTGAGAAATATAGGTAAATTAATGCTGCATTAGCTATAATAAGCGACTCAGCTAATGTGTATTGTTGACATGGTTTGTAAGTGTGATGGAAAATAATAAAACAATAAATTGGTATACATTTTTTTCTTATATGTTTAGCTTTGAAAACAAATTAAGAATATTACATTATTTAATTCTGCATTTACATGTCTTTATTAACTTATAACAAATAAAGAAAAGAACTACTTAAATTTATGTATTAACTTATTATCCAATAATTTTGTATAGTTCTATTTTATTTAATATCAAATACAATTTTGATTTTAATTTTATTGGAAAACCAACATGTATGAAATACAAATATTAATCAATGCCTTTATGATGTCATTGTGGTTTGTAGATATATACACTTCCTTCCCATGAGTATAAAACCTCAGTTATTTCAAAGTTTTGGAAATAGTAGATGTAATATTCTGTGACCTGTGATTTCACTAACATTTAATCATTCAAAATGTTATACTTAACTTTATCAATTAAATTTAGTATATGGTTTTCTGGTTTTATATTTGTAATTTTAAAATACAGTACACTAGCCTACAATTTAGATGTTGATAATGCTAAAGTGTTTAGTGTTCCTATAATTTTGAATAATCAACGGGGAAGTTATTTTGGGTATTCTGTTGCCCTTTATACAAGTGGAGAAAATTCCATATTACTTGTAGGTGCTCCTAGAGCAAATACAAGTGCAGTGCAAGGTGTAATTGAACCAGGTACTGTATATCAATGTCCAGTTAATGACACATGTAAAGAATGGATTATTGATAAAACTGGAAATGGTTGGTACAAACAATATTCAGACATATATCAAATTAAGGATAATGCATGGATTGGTGCAACAATTGCTCTAGAAAATAAAACCAATCCTAGAATTGTGGTATATTAAATTTGTATTTATTTTTTCATAGATTTTTTCCTAAGAACATACTTTTAATCAATTAAATTTATAAATAGATTTGTGGTCCACGATGGAAGAATAATGTGATAAATAGAAATAAACCTAACTGGTACATGAATGGCATTTGTTATTGGTCATTAGTCAACAATATTTCATCTTTTGAAAAAGAAATTGAAAATCAAATTTTACCACTTTCAAACCTTGGAAAAGCTGTTCATTTTACAAATGAAATGTATATTTATAATTATGGAATGGGGCAAGCAGGCTTTTCTGTGCATATGACATCTGATGAATTAAAATCAAACCTAATATTAGGTAGTCCTGGCATATTTAATTGGAAAGGCACACCTTTATTAGTTACAAAACCAATTTATGGTCAAATGCAAACTATAATTCCCTCCATTGGAAATGAAGGAAGTATTCACTCAAATGATTATTTTGGTAAATAATTTATCTTTAGCATTAATTATATATTTTAGTTATGTAGGTAATTAATAATTAAATATTTCCATATATATTTTCTAAAACATACAATTTTTAAAAGGGTAGTTTCTTACAAAAATGCAAATAAGTAACTTGTATGTTACATAAATACAAAACTTCCATCTTCTTTAATAAAACAAGAATGGTAAAAATAAAGTTTTATTGAAAAAAAAAGATCTTTGACTTTAGAATTTCAAAATTATAATATTTGCACCCTAAATCAAAAATCTATTTTCAATATATTTGTGTATGTAAAACAATAATTTATACTTCATTTAGGCTATGCAGTAACATCTGGTTATTTTACAAAAGGGGAATTGTGGTTTGCTTCTAGTGCTCCAAGAGCTTCAAATTTGTATGGAAATGTAATTATGTTTACTTTTTCGAATAACAGTACTACTAAATTGATACTGAAAAAGTTTTTAAGGGGTGAACAGCATGGTGAATACTTTGGCGCTGCTTTAGCATCATGTAATCTTAATGGTGGTGATAAAGATGAATTAATTGTTGGAGCACCGCTTTGGTCAAACAATATGGACGAAGGTCGCATATATGTCTTTATTGCCTTGTATGATGTATGCATAATTTTTAATATAATTGACAAAAATCTTATATTTTGGTCAACATCTTTCTAACAATCTGATATGTAACATAATATGCATGTTAATTTTAAATATCAACTATAGGAAATTTTTGAGAAACGATCATTTGAAGGGAAGGTACCTGGAAGTAAATTTGGTTCTGCCATAACTTGTTTGGGAGATATTGATTATGATAGCTATGATGATATTGCTGTTGGTGCACCCTATGAAGAAGAAACTGGTGCAATATATATTTTTAATGGCAATAGTAATGGATTACTTAAACATTATAGTCAAAAAATAATTGGCAAACAATTTGGAAATAATATCCGTGGATTTGGAATATCAATTGCGGAACCTCGTGATATAAATCACGATAAATATCCTGACATTGCTGTTGGATCTTTTTTATCTGAACAAACAATTTTAATAAAATCTAAGCCTGTTGTTAGAGTAACACTAAAATTATTTTATAATGAAAGTAACAAAATATTAATAAATTCTACTATTTTTCTTATTAATGTGTGTGCATTTTATGATGGAATACATGTTCCTAAATATCTTCGTAAGTATGTAACAAATTTACATATATGAACATTCTTAAATATCATCTTTAACAAATTAAATAATGTTTAGGAGTTGTTAAATCTGTAAAAATAGATGAAACATATAGAAGAGCTTATTATGGTGAAGAAAAAAATAATGATCATAAATTTCATGATACTTTATATAAACTTAAAAATTCATGCAATGAACTGAAAATACATTTAAAGGTAAAATGAAAAGAATATTTCCTTCTTGAAAAGAAACCATTATACTTTACCTGTTTAATTTTGGTAGGAAAATATCCAAAATATTATAGATCCCATTGAAATATCTGCATCAATTGCTTTGGAAGAAGATTTAAATATAAATGATCAAAAAATGAAACCAAATCTTTTCTGTACATCTTGCGCAGTCATAAATCAATTTCATTCTAAAACTGAAGATTTAATAAAGTTGCCATTTGCTACAGACTGTGGGGAAGATGATATTTGTACACCAGATGTTAAAATATTACTTTCAACAAATTTAAAGGCTGATAACAGGTACATCATTGGTTCAACATTTGCTACTAAATTTATACTAGATGTTTTTAATTATGGTGAACCTGCATATCAAGCCAAAATAAACATATACATACCAGAAATATTATCATTAGCAAGTGTACCACCTGCATGTATGGAAAACATTTTCATAAATAATACTTTAGAAGTGATATGTGATCTTGGAAATCCACTTAGAGAAAATGTAAGTATATTCTACAAATATTGGAGATCCTTGAATAAAAAAAATGACAATTTCATTTTTCTATCAGAAAAAATTAATGTTAGATTTGGATATGAGTAAAGTTCGGTTTGATATTGATCATGTAAAACTATGGACCAATTTTAGTACACAAAGTGAAGAAAATAATTCATTCTACAACACACAAGTTTTAACTATATATTTTGATACTGATGTTGATATAGCAATAGCAGGGTTAGTATCCTTTCACTCATTCACAGACTAATTTCTGTCCTTTGTAATTATTTGTTGTATATTATTTACTAGGAAAGCTCAAGATGACCTATATTCATATTTTCTCGAAGATAAAGATGAAAACTTGAACAGTGTTCAATTTCAACACATTTATGAAATTCAAAAATTTGGAGTTAGTCCAATTAATGAAGTTATATTAACAATTAGTATTCCAACAATTTGGAAACATTCTACAGGAGATATACAGATTATTAACATAAATCATACAATTAATTATATGGATGGTCAACAATTTCATTGCACATACGTAAACTCTACACTTTCAACTTCCTTAATCAATAAACCTAACATTTCTTCTACATATACTGAATTGTATACACAGAAAAAGTTTACAATGGATGCCAATGTTTCAACAAATTTGCCACCTGAAAATAGATCAATCTATATTAATTGCACAAATACTAATGTAAAATGTACATATATTAAGTGCAAACTAGGTCCCTTCTTAAGTTCTTCATCTGTTGCTAAACTTTCACTTATATTGGATTTTTATTTATTCGATTTTAAATGTAAGGTTCTCTTAACACTTTAACATAATTTAAATTTCCGCAAAATATTAAAACACTTTTAATTTCCTTTTGATTTTTTATTATAGTAAAAATGATGGAAGGAAAAGATATTATATTTTTCCTATCTAATGGAAATGTTAATATTGTAGAACCACATAATATTACCCAAAAAATTGAACATAAACCTGATAGTACCTCTGTTGCTACAATGTTTCTGGGTTCACCAATAACCGAACAAATTGCAGCCTGGATTGTAGTTTTATCAATTACTTCAGGAATTTTATTACTAATACTGCTAATACTAGCACTTATTAAAATTGGCTTCTTTAATCGAAAAAAGAAGGAAGAACTTCGAGCATTAAAATCCGAAACAGATGTAAGTTTATTATAAGCAAAGAAACTTTATTCATAAATTACAAATATTTAGTTCCATTTTATTGCATTACAGAAAAAACTTAGTTTTATATTGGAAACAAGTTCATCAACGGAAATACTCAACCAAGAATAGGATTATTATTCTTTGTGAATAATCTCTATATATTAAGAAAACAAAATAAATGACAAGGTTATATCATAGATATTTTTCTCTATTTTGTTTACCATTTTTATTTAAGATATGTAATAGTTTGTAAAAGCTTTGATTGGAACGGATTTGTTTTAAATAAATAATCTATATACAAAAATATTAATTTCATTGACATGAAATTCAAGCAGCTTGCATTATATTTTTTGATACAATATACTGAAATATTATAATTAGCTGACCTTTACATTAAACATCCCTAATGCAGTGCAATATTTCAGCTTCCTACAGCTGTTAATAATTAGAGAGCATAAAACTTTCATTGCATATATATATATTTATCTTTATATATTTGGATTTTTATTTGAACTTACATTAGTCATCCAAACCTAGGCCTTTTGAAATTTCATCTGCTGTTAATTTATGTCCTGAAGCAGAAGTATTATCAGAAGATGCAGGGGGTTGTGCAGGGGGTGGAACACTTGGTGTATAAGATGGTGGAGGTGGTGCATGATCCCCTCCACGAGACTTCTACATGTGTAAAAATAAATATATAATGAAATGATGAAATTTATATTTTTACAATTCTTATAATAACTAATACTTACTTCTGTACCACGCTTGTTGCTAAGACCATCTAAAGCAGAACTAAGCAAAGAAGAACCAATTGCAGAACCTATTCCAGACAAAAGATCTGAACCTGAATTTGGTTGTTGGCTAGCATATCCACTAGAAGGTTGATAATTTCCATAACCTCCTGAAGGTTGATAATTTGGTTGCTGGTGTCCACCACCTCCAAGAACACCACCAAGAATAGATCCTAAGGCTCCTTTCAATGGGTCACTTGGCTGACTTGGAGGAGGTGGTGCTGCATTATTACCACCACCACCACCTTATTTAGCACATTAAACATAGTTCATAATAGATGATGTCATCTATGTCATCATCCAACATTCCAACATTTCATTCGACTTTTCTAATTTAAATCATTATTTATGAACAAATTACTATATCAAAAGCTTTAATTAGGAAACAAGTAGAAATGTAACAATTCATTTCTTAATTCAATAAAATTTCTTATCTTCAAAACATGAGATATGCATCATAATACCTAATGCTCCAAGAATAGAGCCTAATACACCACTGCCACCTGATTGTTGAGGAGGATAGCCTTGCTGTGCCTGTGAGTTACTTAAAGCATTGCTTACTAAGCTGCTTGCTAAAGCTGCACCAAGAGATCCAAGATTTCCCAAACCACCTTCACTTTCTGTTTTTGATTTAGAAGCATCTGATTTTTCATTATCCTTTTCAGCATTTTCTTGTGTCTTTTTCTGAAAATTCGACATACTGTTACATATCATTATTTCCAAAAGTTAAAGTATAAAATATTTTTAATTGTTAAATTTTTATACATGTAGCAAGTATGCTCCCCCTACTGCTAAACCAAGTTTACTTAAAGTAGCACCAAATGTATCTTCTTCTTCAGCTTTTTGATATCCAGGTTGATACCCATATGGCCCTGCAGGATTATAACCAGGTCCTCCATATGCATCAGGTGGAGGTCCATAACCAGGACCTGGAGGTGGTGGACCATAACCAGGACCTGGAGGTGGTGGACCATAACCAGGACCTGGGGGTGGACCATATCCACCTGATGGTGTTTGTGGACCTATTGTAGGATATAATCCACCAGGTTCTACAATTATATAAAATTTACCATACAACAACTTAATCAAATTACTTTAAAAACTATCAATATGCATTATTAATGTATTTACTTTATCATTAAAAACAAATGTAAAATGTTTAATTACGTGGTGGTCCAAAATTAGCAGCAGGTACATCTGGTGTAGGTACAGCTCTAGGAGAACGAGGTGGATCAACAGGAACATTCTCATATAAAATGGAATTCACATCTACATCACCATCAATAACCAGATGTGTAACTTTTTCATATGGTAGTCGATGAACAAATTCAGTAAAATGTCTGCCATTTATAGCAATCTTGTAACATGTATGATCACATAATAGAATCATCTCAAATTCTTGACCAGGTTGTATCCACATAGGACCTTCATTTTCTTCCATTCCCCAAGTCATTGATACGATGTGATTTCTAGTAATAAATCCATCTGAGAAACGTGGTGAAACATGAATGGCTATATCATCTCTTGGATTTAATGTAGGTCCTAATTGATAATTCACAGCAAAGCGCACAGCATCTGGAGGAACTTTTCCTTGTATTTTAACCATTTTTCCAGGTACTAAACCACCTTCAACAGCTCCCACATAAGGAATTGGCTATTGAAAT